CACCGAAGGTGATTCGGGCGGAGCCGAAGGCGGGGCATGAAGTTATTCGAACGCGTAGCAGCCCTTTCGATTTTTCGAATTTTTTATCAAAACGAAAGCAATACTTCTGTTCTTTTCATTATTATCGTGGATAATGAGTCTCAAGCCAGTGATTTATGGCTGAAATAGAATCATGATTTTTCCGCGAAGGATTCCTTTAATTGGGCAAGTCAACAAGCCATCAAGTAGATTCTATCAACTCTGTGAAAAAGAAATACACTTTACATGCGCGTGGTCTTAACAGTAGAGCCGTTGACTGTCTTTGAATTGAATTGTGTAAAATGAGTGGCGACTAAAAGGAAGCTAGTCCAATTCGTTCTCATCGGTAGCCAAGGGCTGCATGACGGGGCGATAGTTCAGCCTAAACCGTTGGGAAGGAACCCGACACACTCAAGGCAGAATGAGAATTCTATTAGAGAGTAGGAATTCATGTGAAATAAGAAGTGGTCACCAGAGAGCATTGTTGCGGATTTACGGACAAATGATAGTGAGAACACAAGTGTACATGATCAACTGATGATCCGTGCATTGAAACATTGGGAATATCCACGCGATGTATGAGATACCCGTACCCAGGGTCAACCGTGAGTTCCACGGATCTCTACGAGGGGTTGTATATGAGTTTTTTCCAGATGGGGAGGGGTTGTATTGGGAGAGGCAAAGCTCAAAAGGTAGGGAAACGAGGAAGGAAGTATTTTCTGAACTTGGACGAATTGTGGTGGCAGGAGAAGGGGATCGCTTTTGGTGGGTTTTGTGATAATCTTTTTGGGAATTTAAAAGTAAGCGTAAAGTGGTTGAAGTTAGAAGATTCGTCACTTTATTTAAAATATTTACCCCCTCCCCCATCCACTCCGCTGGACAGAAGTGCTAGTCGTTTTGAAAGAAAAAGTGGGCGTAGATGGGCCGTGTCGACGACTGTTTCAGAATCAAATACCGTAGAAACAGCCGTGACGGCGTGAAGGTGACGGCCGAGACAGGGAGAAGGGGTCGTATTGGGGGACTCGCTTGAGGCTGATGGTGGTGATGAAGGTTCGTATCGAGACCCCCCTAAAGGAGAGGGCCACAAAATTTTTGGAACTGAAACAAAGGACGGTTGACCCTGCCCCTGGTAGTGTCATTAAAGGCGACTTGAAAAACGCGGCAATAAGTTACGGCACGCTACTTTCATCGAAGCACCCTCAATCATGCATGCCCACAGCTTAGACGCATTGGTGTGTAAGTCCCGCTCATCCCCGTTCTCTTCCTTCTCCGAGTCGATTGTCTTGCTTTATAGCCCAATCTCCGTCCGTCTCGCAACTCGCAGTAATGACCAAGCGTTGATAGTCCTGGAGATAGAAGGATTTCTTAGCATGAGTCGATCCCCCATTTCTTGCCCTAGTACCTTCATCGCTGTGCCCTTTTGCATGAATCCGCTATATTGGTACGTTTTCTGCGACAGGGTATTAGACGGCATGGAGGGAAACCTCTAGAATTCCGTTTTCAGAACTTAGCAGGTTTGTAAAGTAGAGGCATGAATTACTTCATCGACGAGCTTTCACTACATAGATTCCTTTTCGAAAAACCACGGTCAGAATCTTGAGATGTGTAGATTTCGACAAGGTTCTCGTCTATCAAATCACCAAGTTTTCAATGGAACCTTTTCATTCTTGCTGTACGCAAACTTGTTGAATAAGTAAGTAAGCTGCCTGACTAACCAGGAAATTTCCAGCATAAGTTCTCGATTGAAGCAGCAACCCCACATGAGGACGTATCGAACAATCTATTCTGTGGGTAGGATGGAGTCACATGCCATATATCCACAGCTGTGCCTTATCGCGGCTGGAAAAAGTGCACGCACAAGCTGCCGAAGGCCTCACTAAGGGACGCTACTGACGGACTTATGCTGAGTTTAAAGGACGACATTGGCTCGCGCAACTAACGACACGCCAACATGGAACCTACCACGGCCACGCAAAGTTTAAGCCAACTTCGCCCCCTCCGGAGACTGCCCCCTAAATTCACTTTCAAGTGGGAGCAAGAGAAGGCTGCTGGCTCTTGTGTCAGGGTTTCATCGACAGCGATCCTTTGCTTTTTTTCATTTTCAGTCAACTCTGCATTTATGGTTTCATGATCGACCGCTATTACCCCACCAGTTTGATCTGAGGTTCGTAATAAAAGGATGGTCCAAGACGGCAAAGGTTTATTTCATGCCATGAAAATGGTAGAGCAAGTGTATTCAGCTCAAAATGAACAGCTTGGAGGGAACTGCCACAATCTCAATTCCTCGCCTGTTCCCGAACAGCAAACGCGCTCCATTGTCAGGACCGCTAATCGTGCAGCGGATTTTAGCACATTCAAAACGCAATCAAAACTCCTGCGGGATTAGGAGAACATAAGGTAACCTTATCAAGATCCCCCTCCAAAAAAAAGGGAGGGGGGTCATAAAAATTCCCAAAAAGTACCGACGGTAGGGTTGACTCTGCCCACGAATCGTTGACATCTCGGCGCATGCGCATGCGCCATCTGCGAGTTCCAGGAAAACTGGAGCCATGGCTGAATCAGTCAGCCATTCTCAGAGTTAACTTTGCGATCGCGTCAGAAGCGTCCCATAAAAGGAGCAGCATCCCCAAGAACAGGTGATTTATACGATAACTGATCCCACTCTCCGCTTTAAACCGCTCTGACGACCTCCTTTCGTCCAAGGATGAGGTTAAGATTTTCAGTTTTCCGTAGGACTGCTAGTTCAATCATATAACTCGAAAGACTACTGCATGTGCGAAAAACCTAATCAGTAGGGTCTTGAGCCTCCCTTTCTCATCGCATCAAAGGCGAAACAAGCCTAAATGATTTATCCACTGAACGGGAAACATCGGAACAAATTCATGGAAATTTATGCATGCAATTTCAAATACATGCGCTCACATACTATAACAACTGAGCGGATGTTATGCGACAAGTGAAAGCTCATGATAAAAACTTCTACCGGTATAAAAATTAACAGTCTAAGTACAACTTTAGCAACAATAGAAGCACATTCTAATCGAAGCAGCCTCGCAATATGTAAGTATATTCGCCACCTAGTAACACAGTAAAAAATGAGATAAATTATCACGGCAACAAATCCCACCAACTATCTACAACAACTTTCGTGATGTGAGCTCTTGGGATGCTAATGTTCGAAAATGTGTCATGTTTATGCTATTAATCTGTCTTACCTTTCCTATCTTTCGTGAAAATTCTTCTCATCGATAAGGTTTACAATAACAGCACCAACAAATTTCAGTAAGTACAAATTAAAGGAATATAAACTACAGTCGACAACAAAAAACAGTGTCACAGCACTCAGAGTGGAATGACTCCTCAGCAAAGCAGCGCAGTCACGGCGCAATCCACTTCGAGATCGAGAAGCTCAGCCTGGTCATCCGTCAACCTCATCAATAAGCCGATCGGGTCGCGTTGCGACCGCACATGTGATTGTTGAAAGGTTTGTTCTCCTTTTCTGGTACATACGACTGTGAAAAAGGTCCTCGTTAGGATGGAGCAGGAGGATCGGCCTCTTCAGCGCTGCTGTCATTTGCGTTCACTTGTCCACCATTTGCTGCTTCTGGTGGAGGTACTGGATCCGGTACATAGTCTTCCTGAAGCACATAGGATGTAATACCCAACAAAATCGAAGAAATGAAAGTAAAACCTACAAAATCCTCATTATTGAATCCTTCTCTGGCTGCAACCATACACAGATACCTCCTGAACGCCGAAGTAAACCTCAGATCTGGACGCGGATTGATAGGACCCCTAGATGTTAACGATAACATTCAATTAAGATCTCTAGGATCAGTGGTGAATACCACGTAGAAAAACTAAGTCGCACCTGCCAAAATTGTATTCGCGGAGAAAATCACGTAAACTCGGTAAAATATCCTCTCGGTCTCCCAGAACTCGTCGAAGTATCAGCTCATTTTCGGATCGATACAGTCCAAGTGGTGGTAATACGGGAGGTGTGTAACTGAATGAAAAACATGGTCAAACCCTCAAATAGCTCTCAATCAATCAATACAATCAGTATGGTTCACGAGGATGTAGGTCACCGCGCGACGTCGCCAATTTAAACTTGCGCGCCTAATTTGGGCCGTTGTATCGGATGTCATCAGGCGGATAGAGCAGCATGGGCGAATCACCGAAACCCCCAAAACGTCGTGTATGAACATGGTTACGTGGTCATTACAGATCCAAATAAGTAGCCTCCAATTGCCTTTTTGTTCCACTTTTTTAGAGGTTTCTACACCAAAAACACGAAGTGCTGAATTCTCACGAATAAGACGGTTATTTCCGACTGAAAAGGGGGTACCCCCCAGGAGGCCCGTCGCGCGGCAAGAAGGCAGAGTCGCGGACGAGTCGCAGCGCGTGATGTGCGATGTAGGACGTACAATGGAACATTCTATTTAACTTGACGCGAAATCCCTACAGTACGCGCGCAACTCGTCCGCTGACTCGCCTTCTTGTCGCGCGACGGGCCTCCTGGGGGTATCGTAATGTGAGTACGTCGCGCTTGACTTTTTGCTACATACCGTCTCACAAACTACAAGCGTATTAGTGCACGTCGATCTAAATGGCTCTACTCCCATTTCAATACCAGATCAACAACTAAATCAGTAGAGGTGGTGAGACTACAGCAAAAAAAATTCAAAAATTCTCACTCCGTTCCGGTGCGTGGCCTCAATGAAAAATGGTAGCCGATAGCTCCAACAACGGTTAAGGCTCGGCGGCGCATATGCGAAAGGAACGCTTGCACTCCCACGCTTCACGGCTTCCTATCGTAGGAACTCTTGCACCAAACAGTTCCGGCATTCGCTCGGTCTGAAGATTATATTCATCGCACTCCTTAATGATAGAACAAAAACTGCCAATCAAACTCGACACTCGATAGCTGTACCCACCGTGTAATGGTAGAGTCATCAAGGAGGTTGGAAATTGCCGCCTATATATATATCTCCCGGTTGCAGAAGCATATTAAGTGCAGCTGAAAAAGTAACAATCAAACTTCCCCCGAAAAGTTCCTCAATTGCTTATGCCGTCTTTAAGACGTAAATGTCAACTTTCACCGCCAGAAGCATCCCCGTCATGCGTCGTTCAGCGGTCCGCCCTGCCAGCCTGATCTCCACCGCGCTCCACGAACGGCTCCCTAACCACACAACTGCGACCCTCCAAAGAAGTAATAACACGACCGCGGCATTCAACGTTACGAAGTAATCGTGACGTGCACGTGAAGAGAAGAACGGTGAAGTGAGCTCCCCGGTAAAGATTCCTTCGTCCAAAAGAGACTCACTACGAATGGACTGGTATGCGCTCGATGATGATGCCATCGCCCGCCCCACTCAACCATGGCTCGCTGATGCAGCTCAAAACCATCCTCATCCGTCGCTTTTCGCCGGCTTATGGCCGAACATGACTATCGTCCAAGGAAACTCGCGTCACCCGACCCAATCCAGAGCGAGTGCTATGGGCGCGATCGCCTCGGAAACCTGGTGGCAGTTGTGCACCCCTCCAATCTTCTATCCCCCTGTGTCCCTCCGTTGTGCATCACACTTCCTCTGATCATGGAAAACTATAACAGAAGAAGGTCACCACAGCACCCGCTCAGCTGTGCGTCTTTTGGTGGGCCCGTTCAAATGGAACTTGCAGTGCACCTTGCTCTGCCCTAACTAACCATACCCTTGCTACTCAGACTTGAGCCCTAATTGAGAAGCAGAAAACCGGTCCTACTTACGCTCCTGGTGATACAAAATGTCGCAGCGGCAGATATTTCTGATCTTGTCGTATTTCGAATCCCCGCAGTCTGGTGCTGTATAGCCCGCCGAAAGGCAAGCCTCCTCGAGTTGCTAAATTCCATTTTTCTGCTCGACAGAGAAAAGAAGATGCTTGCCAATAGGCAAGTTTTTACTCACCAGAGTAAGATACAGCATAAGCGCTGATCCTCGGTACCCGTTGAACTTGGGGCGGCGATTCTATCGAACCTAAAAAAATGGTATTTAGGGTTTTCAATTTTTCCAGGAAATCAGAATTGAGTCGAACCTGAAGGCTGCTCTGGTTCACGAACGACACCGTTGGGTGGTGGACGCGCCACAGCATTGTCAGCATTGAGCTAGCAGCAGTCTTTCTTGCACAATCTGCTGATGCTGTTGACTGGCTCCAGGCAGACCGTCACATTGTGAAGTGGGTACAGCAACTGCTGAATTCTCAGAAGGAGGGCTGTAGTGCTGTTCATTACTGAAGCCAGCGCTGGAGGGAGCCTTTTGCTGAGGCGTCTGTTCCGGAAATTTCGTAGAGGCACCTCGAGAACCGCCGGCTGCTTGGCATGCCAGAATATTTGTGTTCAGCGCAAGCAAATTCTGCTGCCGAGAGATATCTTGCAATTCGAAACCAGAATGGAAGTCAGGGTCCCTAAATGAAGACCCCTGGATGTGCTCCAGTTTCAAACACGCGTCTTGTACTGATCGCATCCATCTAGACAGCTGCACGGCGTGATCCGATACAGTAGGAAGTACCTGCGAAAGCTCTTCCGTTAACGATCGAAGGCCTGAATAAGCACAATTGTTCTGGGCAAAGAGGACAACAGACAGAGTCTTTGCTATCGCATACCAACCTTGGGCAGCTACACTAGTCGAGCTGTGCGAGTTCAACTGTGACACAATCTGCTCCATTTTTCGCATGTAATGAAGACAAATGTTCCACGCGGCACTGTCATTAACCAGCATTGCTGGAAAAAGGGTTCATTTTAACGGAGGATGATGAATAAATAACAATTAAGGAGTGTTGCGAAATTTTGCATTTTTTGTTTCTGACAAGCAATTTTGTTCAAAAGCTTTGAGTTTACGTTTACGCTTCAACGAGCCATACTCAGTAACTATTTCTCTTTCTCACTATTATCCAGCTTTCCATCCATCTCACAACTTCCTGGGTAAGAAAACGGGTCGACCTCGAATCCGCACGAGCAAGCGACGGCCGACGACCTCCTGTCCTCTAGAGGACCCCGGTTTACGGACTACTTGATTTTTCCTCAATGGTCCTGCCGCGATGGCTACATCACCGATGATGAGAGAACGGGTGAATGCCCTAGGACTAAGCCTTGGAGAGGAGAGGGATCCGCGAGGCGTTTCAAAGGGCTGAGTTCAAGTATTCCGTTAACCAGAGGACCCCAGGCTCGAGGTTCCATTCCGTCAAGTGTAAATTTAAACAGTTTTGTTCACTTAGTGCTGAGATATATCGTTTTGAAGACAGGGGTCAAAAACCCACTACTTTCTGAACAAGTTGATACCGTCCCAATTACATAAAATACTCCTCTCATTGGAAATCACCCAAACACGGTTGTTGCTCAAGTATAACCACACGACTCTCCTTGATTTAAATGCCTGGATGATAAACTTCGTCAACTAGAGATTAAGTATGAATGCCCTGAGATACTGCTTTAAAACAACATATCCCCGTATGAAAACTACAATTACTTGCAGTACCATGTAGTTTACCATGAAGATGTTTGGGCTGAAGAGTATAACAAAAATCAAAGACTGCGCAAAAAGTAGTGGCAAGATTTTGATTGTGACGGTCCCAGGAAGATGTTGTGACCCAGACCAGATCTGACAGCCTTTGACTTAAACACTTTATTAGCCTAAAGGATTCTACGATAATGTAGGGATCGAAGGAGGAAGAGACATGCAATTCGCAGCGAAATATATGCCGCCGCAATCTAGTATGGCCGAGCCCGCGCCGCTCTCCGCCCACCCCCTCGCCGTGTGACTCCAGCCCTTCTGGCAGAGAGGCGTTAGCGTTGATGAGGACAGCACCGACGAGACACGCCTAACGCACAAATCGGTGGACAAAAAAGGTCCCATCCGGGGTCTAAGTTATTTTCCTTTTTTCCATCCTTCATCACTGACCACCTTTACCTTGATATTTGATTACCTTGATATGTGGGATGTCGTAAACTTCACTTCTAATAGGCAGCGGAGGATGGTCCTGTTTACTGCGTGCTGCACATGGCGCATCATTCTGCGAGCAATAAAAACGCTTGGCCATGCACTAGGGGGAGCAATAGACACCCCAGTGCAAGGCGCGTTGGGGACCCAAATCAACGGTACAGATTTCAAATCACAGAACAGATTTCGAATGAACAGGTGTCACAAACTTGTGAAAAAACTCACACTGCTGAAAGAAGAGATCACCACGCAGCTGATTAATAATACAGCATAACTTTTGGTATTCTTCGGTTGCTACTTCTTCCTTCGAGCCATTCTGCTCATCGAACGCTGTGCCCGATTTGGCCAAACTCTTCAACAAATGAGACAATTAATAAAAACTATACGAAATTCAGACCATTCTGTCTAGCTACCCGGTTAACTCACTCCATGCTCAGCCACAGTTTCGTCCAGAAGCATTCGATGAGAAGCCGTTGGCTACTCTGAAAATATTCCCATAGGAAATACAGAACAACACAGACAGCACACACAAGCATTTTTTGAATCTCACACTTGATCCTACTAGCAATCAACTAACTGTGCAAGGCGGGCCCAAGCGTGTAGTTTAGCAGTTTTCTGTTTGAAGCGCGCTCTAGGAAGAAAAATGCCATTGTGGGTGTTACCCCGATCATTATATCAACACCACGAAACACTGGTATCAGGAAACCTTCGAGCTGCTCAGAGTTTTCTTGGCGGTTGGTTTTTTCTGGCTGCATTTATTTGCGGACAGACCGGCTACGCACGACATACAGACAGACTTCCCGACAAACCGGTACACTAAGGTTGTAGTTTATAAAACGAACTAATACTACTAAGAATGAAGTGTAGAGTAATGAGCTATACGGCCTATGTATGTATTGCGACGTTTCATGTGAAGACTCGAGGTCTCCAAGCGGTGTAGGTAGATTAAATGGTATCAGAGTATGAAGAAATCGACACGGATGTCCAGCACGAGTTTAGCTCTTGGTGTAATACTATAGAGCTCAAGGGTCAACGCGTGGTTGGACAAGGTCCAACGTAGTGGGGTGGATGTTCTGTATTTTGGAAAGTGTGGAAGATAAGGGCGCTGGTATATTTCGCGGAGCGTAGGTTATGTTACAAGGAAGGATACAGTGATGACGCAGTAGGTAGGCGCACAAATATTTTGCCGTTCCATGGTGTATATAAGCATGAGCCGCAGCAAGGAAACTAAACGACAACTAGAAGGGGTTACGGACTACTTGATTTTTCCTCAACGGTCCTGCCACGATGGCTAGAGCACAGATGATTAGAGGACGGGGACTGAGCCTTGGAAAGGAGAGGGACCCGCTAAAGAGCGCAGAGGCGGTTTAGAGGGCTGGGTTCAAGTAGTCCGTCGACCGAATTAGTAAAGGAATAGAGACTATAATTCTATGGCCACTGTTTCAGTTCAAACGTTTACGAAGATGAGTCGCGATAGAGTGAGGCCACAATAATTCATAGTTAAATGGTCAACTGGGTGCGACAAAGGGTCTCGCTTCGTCGCCTTTCGAGCCCTGCGCCTAACCGGCCATCGTAATGGTAAAGACAGAGGAATGCCTCGTACATAGAACTGGAGCCGAAACTGTGGAATACTAATTAGATGGAATCGCAACATGATCACGACCTAGTATTGCACGCTTTTGACGGGATAGATGGATAGATTAGTTACGTCCGGACGTCGCCTTGTGTATAGATGTATGAAGGGTCGCGCGCTCACAGCGAGCACCCACCACTGATGGGCAGCGCACTTCGAAACCTATTGGCTGTTTAATTACGCGAGTCAAGCGCGGTACGTGGTCCTAGGTTCTCGTAGAATTCTCTTGTTTTTGCAGACAGTCAGAAAATGCCATAATCATCACTGATGGTGCGAAGTTAAATTGTGCAGTCGAATAAAAGGAGTACGAATGGCTTTTTCCTAATGGGTTTTCTTCATTTCCATTCTAATGTCTCGTTTCTTAGACAAACAGTCGCCATAGAAGTTAAGTTACAGAATCCGCGACAAGTTGTGCCTTGAGACAAACTTTGAGTTGTTAAAATAGTATGAAATGCACCAAAAGGAGTTATAATAACGGACACAAAAAGTGTTGCTTATTGCGCGTAATTTGACTCGTTTCGATTTAGAGAAGTGTCAATCGCGGGGAGGTTTGATGAAATCTCTATAAATCTCCTATAAGAAAGACTCATGTGCAAGACACGAAGGTCACAGCAAAGCGCCTATGAAGGATTAAGGGAGAGGTCGTCTAGAATTTGTCACAACACATTGTGAGAGTTTGTGCGATGTGTCTGACTGGGCAAAAAAATGAGCACGAAAGAGAGAATAAAGAACTGACGGAACGATAGAAGAGGAGCTCTCCTCGTTATCGGCCACTTTTCTCCAATAAGAACCTCTGAAGAATACTGTTATATTATTCACTAAGAATCATCATACCAGAAGCAGTGTCAAGAATTGAAAGACCTACCCTCGTTACGATTGAGACGACACAGCAATTTTTCCCTGAGTCGCCTCTTGTCTTCAATGGAATGCAACTGGAAATTCTCTGCTTCTTCACCAAGTTGTAGAGGCTCCTTCACATCATCATGGTTTCTGCATCCCTAAAAGTGCAGCTTGTACAATGTAGTAATTATCAGACTGCGAAAACAAGACATACCTCTGGCAATCCTCCGTATCCATTCATTCCAGCCACGAAAGCAACGAAAAGTACCAAGAAGGGGGTTGCTGGTAACAATATAAACACTATGAGAATGCCTTCTAGACGAGCTCGCGCTTCACTCAGTGGCAGAGAACACCACGGAGCCCCAGCGGTTGCCGGTGACGGCCACGTGTCACCAGTTTTCCATTGAACGGAGCGATTAGTGATAGCGTGAGCGGTACCACAACTGAAAACGATAGGTGATTCAAGGAACCGCGTGTGTGTCATTAGGTCACCACGAGGCGAGCGAACTGCAACGTATAGAGCGCCGAGATATTGTGTACTTATTGATTCTCGGCGTTCATTCAGAGAGGTTAGGTTAGTAGGTTCGAAACAACACGACAAGCCGCGTCTGAATGAGGAAAAGGATAGTGACAAGAATATCGCTTGAGCCGTCAGCCACGCAAAGGTACACGGAACATACTACACGCGGCACTTCGCAAGTGTGCGCCGCCGCGTCGCGATCCATGATACACACGAGCATGAAAGGGGGGTGTGGTTCACTAGGACAGAAAGCGACTTTTTCGCGTTTCGCAGCGCGAAACATTTTTCGCTGCGGGAACCTCAGGTCCACCGCTGATCATCAGTGGACCCGAGGTTCCCGCAGCGAAAAATGTTTCGCGCTGCGAAACGCGAAAAAGTCGCTTTCTGTCCTAATGAACCACACCCCATAAAGGCGGCTTATAGCAGTCAATTTCCCGAAGCGAACTCACGCTCCTTGCCTCTATGGGTAAGTCGTCGGGACAGAGCGCGCGTCGCCTTGTTGAGAGACCGTTTGAGGGTTTGCGTCGAAGGACCCACTGCTGAGCAGCTCTATGGCGTGATCGTTCAAATGGTGGTACATTGGTATATGGCTCATATCTTCAGCGTTCCGACAGTCAAATTAGTTCAACTTCTTAGAGAACAGACTACAGCAACAGGGCCACTGCAGCATCCTCAGCGGTGAGTCTTGTGATGTGATCTTTCAAGAGATCTTTTTGTAGGGCGACGTGCACTCTGCCTTATTAAGGCAGGCCCTGTTGGGATGAGTCCCCTCTACCTCCATAAACTCAACAAACTTACTTGATGTATTCAACAATACTCATTGCTTCACGACCCTCGGAACCAAAATTGGTGTAACGATAATGGATAACTGGAGCAGCCAGCAGAAATAGCGTCGCCAATCCAAAAGATACAACTAAAATCGTGAAAACATTGTAGGGAACAAAGATTTACGGCGGCAAAAATATAATACAAAAGATGCCAAGAAAATAGCAATGAAAATATCTGTCAAAAGACAAGGCAAAAATTGAATATGCGGGCCCAAATACTTTGGTCGATGAAGAAGTAACAAGCTTTCTACACATTGGGCTTGATTTCAAGAATTTCACTGTTTTGAAAAAAAGTGAAAAAAATTATCACACGTACATGACCACCACCTTGATAGCTTGGAAGCATGGAAAGGGGCAATGCGTCTCTGTGAGTGATAGTAAACTTCGTCAAGTTCTTGTTCGGGAGGTTTCTGGAGAAGTTCTGCAAAAATATGGTCCGTCGATCGAGTAGGACCGTATCTTGAAGCAACTCACAGGCCTTTTTATAGGTGGCCTAAACTTATACTTACCAGCTCTGTTGAAACCTGCTGGAACAGAATCGCATGGAATCAGGCCAACATTCGATTCCGACTCACTTTTTGCAGGATTCGCCGCTTTACAGACACTGTTCTGAAAGACCGAAGAGCTCAAGAAGGCCAATAAGTCTCTGAGTATAAAAACTATTTGTCACACCACACCTTGTCTGCATCTGCCACACCAACCTTGTCTGCATCATTTTTTCCCTCGGCCGTTATCTGAATCACACAGCTTACCTGTTCGACGCCACATTTGCCAAGCCATTTCAAAGAAATGAATAAAACTCAGGGCACCGTGAACGTTACGACAGAAAGCCTATCGCGCGGCAAGAAGGCAGAGTCAGTGGACGAGTCTCAGCGCGTGCTGTGCGCTGTAAGACGTGCGATGAGTACATTCTATTTAACTTGACGCCGAATTCACTACAGTGTGCGCTGCGACTCGTATCATTATGCCGGCCGACGGCGCTCCATCGTATTCCTTCGTTCACAAGGGAGGGGGAGGGTTAAGGAAATGAGCGCTTATTTCGAAACAGTTTTCTGTATGTTGTAGCAATTTATATGCAACACAAAAAACGAGATTCATTCACGCCTGTCGCTCTTGAAGATGAGCTAGAAGTTATACCAATATTATTTTACTATTATATACTACTACTATTCATATTAAATGACCGATGTACTCTTGAAGCATCATGTAAATGAAAATAGTCTGCCACATTTGATCAGACGCGTTGTTCAGTTTCCATGAGAACATATTAATCGGATTTTGAAGGAAACACTGCAACTGTGAGCAATCGCAGCCCAGCCCTGTGGAGGAAGAAATCCATGCTCATTTGGCACGGACTGGCCTGAACTCATCAGCGCCCGCCGTGAGCTACAGCCTTTTCCATGCAGATTGGCATGGGTAAGAGTTTTTACCACACCTTATATGTGTCTGCGATGACCTGGGGATGCGCTCACAAGGCGAGTGAAAATGAAGGTGAGGCCAGTTGATGATTTGCAGAGCTAAAGATCTAGCTCAAGAAACTCCTTACTTTTTTGAGGGAAGTGAAGAACACTCACTGCAACGTTTGAAGCTTGTTTCTACAGAACGTGGCATATACTGGAGGCCACTACATATAATGTAA